GGACCAGCCCTGCCCACAAAGCTGGGCTTGAGCACGACCTGAGGGGGATACTTTGGCCCATGTCATAAAGGGTCCCAGCAGCTTCCTGGGTCTTATCAGCAGCCTTATCATTTTCCTTCATTACTACACTTCTTCAGTCCTACTATGGCTCCTCCAGGCACCCAGCCCCAGCTGCGCTCAGGAGCTCCAGGGTTCCAGCATTTTGGGGGCGTCTCTGGCTCCAGCAAAGCCCCCGTGTTCAGGGACGCGTTATCTGACATCCTCTCATCGTCTGACATCCCCTCACTCTGGGCACTACGCCTCCCTCCCCCAGCTCTTCACCGCAATCCCCACCGTTTTCCACCATCATTTAAGTTTCTAAAGTAATTTCTTTTTTCTTTTTTTGTCCTTTTTTTTTTTTTTTTTTTTAAGCAAACCATCCACCATATGTTCTCCCCTGAAAGGGGTAATTGTTAACAGATCATTAAAACACCGTGGCGAGTGCTCTGAGATTCCTTCCCTCAGTCTTAAGCATTATCCCGTCTCTGTCACCCTTTCAATGCGGCTTTGAGGGCTCTGCTTTTCTAACTTCCTCCTCGGGGAGGGGCGAGGGGGGCGGAGGGAAGAAGAGAGAAAGAGCCACTAAAACGACCCTCTTCACAGCTCTCCTCCTTGCTTTTCAATGTTTGGTTTTTTTTTCGACATCCAACAATAATTAGGGTGGGGGGCTGGCGTGCCGCCGCTGCTGTCACCAGGCTGGGGGTGGCAGGGCCACATCTTGCCCCGTTCACGAGGTGCCAGGGTCGGGATGGCAGGATGAGGCGTGGCAGGGGTGCTGCAGGCACCCCGTGGGCACCGACAGCCTCTCCTTCCACTGCCGGGCAATGAGGCTGCTCAAACAGCACATCCCATCCATCCCCGTCCCTTTGTCCCTGCTCCTGGCATGGGGGGCGGTGGGATGACCTCATGGCACACACACATGTACCCTGGGCTGAGAGAGAGAGAGTATTCCTGGCAGAGCTCATTTCCTCAGGTGGATCAGATGCTCCCTGCAGCACAAATACATGGAAATAACCTAACAGCTGGCTGGGAACAGAGCTAAGCCCAGAGATGGAGCTGTGAAGGGGGCTTTGGACATTTCACCTCCCTTTCCTGAAGAACCAATGCTATTTTAGGAAATGCCAAATTATGGGAAGCTGGGGACCACTTCTACCTGAGCCACGGTCTCAGCTGAGGGAAGCACAGGCACAGCACCAGCATCTGCCCCCTTTGCTGGGACAGGAACCTTCCCAGAGCTGTGCCCACATGCTTCCCAGCCCCATGTGCAGGGAGAGGGAGCCTGGGAGGGCTCCTTGGATGAGCCAAGAGGACTTGCAGCTGCACAGTGACTCACCACCAAGAGAAGGGCAAGGACAAGACCCGAGTGAGGCAAAGGCACACTGCACGTGCCTGATTCCAGTGTGAGGGCTGCCAAACTCACCACGAACACCAGATGAGCAGCAGCAGTTCTGGGGTTGAGGGTCACCTCCTGCAGGCTTGTGCTGGGAAAGATCAAGGCTTCCAGAACTCACACTGAAGTTCCTTACCTGCATCGTGTCGCCTTCTGCCATGGATTCTGGCCATCCCTCCAGAGGGCCACGTTCCCTGACTCATCACAGCCTGCAGTCAAGCTTCAGGCACGGTTTGCACTGCTCCTCTGGCACAGCCACTTTCCCCAGCCCCGGCATGAGGCCCTTTGAATTTGCACTTACCCATCCCAGCCAAGGAGTGTGCAGGCCCTGAGAGCACACAACATCCACCCTGGGAGAGGTGGGCAGGAGGCAGCTGTCCCAGCCAGCAAAACCCAGTAATATTTGAAAAAACACAGGATCTTCAGAGTCCTGCACACAAATGTCTCCAAGAACTAATAGTCCACAGCAGCTCAGCAGCTCTGCCAGTGCCTGCACGTAGCTCCAGGGACCCCAGAGAGCTCCTTCCTCATCTGACACCCCAGTGTGTTTCCCCAGCACCCTCCAAACCCCTCAGGGAGATGCTATGCTTATTTTAACCCAGGAAGCTGTAGCCTCAAGCTGCTTTGCTCCAGACGGGGATCAGCCCTGCACGGATCCCACTGTGGAGTCCCGGAGCATCCCTGGGAGCGCTGGGGCAAGAGATGCTCAGCCAGTGCCAGGAGCTCCTTGTGCTCACCCAGGCAAAACCTCCCACCCCAGAGCCCGTGGGGCTGACCCACAGAAAATCTCCAAGCAGGGCTGAGCACCGTGATGGGGCTGGAATCAGCAAACCAGTGCCCAGTGGGATGAGGGAGCGTTGCCCTGGTGTGTGCACATCCCAGGCACACTGGCTCCTTTCCAGGATGGCAGCTTTCACCTCTTCATCAAGGACAAAACTTTCCATGGAAAAAAAAGTACCTCCTTCAAAGAGTATGTTGGAAACAGGCTGGAAACGGACAGGGCTCCCACTTTCCTGAGTGGATTTAGCAGCTGCCTTTGCCAAGGGCTCTTCCTGTTGCTGTAGGGCCAGATGTCGTCCCTGAGAGCTGCAGAGACACCCATCAGGCCTGGAGCTGAACTTCCCCAGCAGTACTTCCATCCCAAAAGAGATGGAGCTGCATCAGTTTTTAAGCAGCAGTACAATGGACTGAAAGTTAATTCTGACATGATAAAGGCACAGTCATCAAATGAGGATGAAAACCCAAAGCAACTTCACACGCCACTGATGTCCCTGGGGTCCAGCTGATCTCCCTGGCCCAGCAGAGCCCACAGGATATCGCAGTGAGTGGGAGCACCTGGTCCCTGTGGTGCAACACCTGCATTATTTCATGTCAAAAAGCAATTCCTGAACCCACACAAGAACCTTGGAATGATCAGCTGGTGCAGAAAAGTCATGAACCCTGGGAAGTCCCACTCAAGGAAAGGGCTTTAGGAACACAAATTTGCAAATCCCCTTTTAGCTAAATGGTTTTTTCGACCTTAAACACCGATTTCTTTTTTTCCCCATCGAGGGGAAATTAGCTCACCCCACCTCTGAGGCTGGTTTTCCAGGTGAAGGTGTAACCAGCAGCCGTATCCTGAGTGTCCCTCACAAACAGATGATAATCTCGGCAGAGGTTCGGGGCCAGCACAAAGGGGCTTCTTGAAGCAGGGCAGGGGAAAGGGCCGCTGGAGGAAGCCTCGTGCTGTGTGGACGCGCTGAGCAGAGATTTAATTCCAGCCAGGAATTCCATTTAACTCGTGCCTTGAGAGGTGACACATCCGCACCAGCAGAGGGAGAGCTGCTCGGCGTTTCTGCTCCGGATCCGTGCTGATTAAAGGGTTTTATCACGGTACCAGCAGCAGCACATACAGCACATACCGTGCACGATGCTCCAGCCAGGCACCCCAGGTCTGTGCCTCTGTGGCCTCCAATTATTTGAAATACAGAGGCAAAGCTCTATTTCTAGCTGAATGGCGATGGAAAGCAGGAGCACAAGGAGGATGAGCCCCGGGAAGCTCACAGTTGTCAGGGCGCTTTAAAATTACACACACAAAAATCCATAGTTCTGGAATTCTGCAGAGCTGCCTCAGTCTTTTCAACAGCAGGCAAGGAGCATTTTTTTTTTTTTAATCAGGTTAAGGATGCATCTGTGAGGAGCAGCCCGGCCAGGAGGACGGGGATTGAATTAGATCAGCATTCTTCACCCATTCAAAACCAACTTTCACGTCAGCTCTCTGGAAAAGGCAGCTGAGCAGAGAACTGCCGCATCTCCCTCCTCCAGCCACCTCCCAGCAGGCATCATCCTTCCCTCTGGTCACCATGGGGCTGTGAAGCCAAGAGTTAATTTCCTCAAATCTGAGGGAATGGGGAAGGGTCAAGTTTTTGAATCAACTTATTAAACTTCTTTGAACCAATTTATTAAACAAAATCACCCAGGCTGACGTCGTGATTGTCAGGTAGACACCGTTCCCATGCAAGCACTGTGTAGGATAACTGGGGATGGCTGAAAATTCAGTACAGCCCACAAATTTCCCTGCTAAATGAGAACTGCTCTCTGGTATTCCCAAAGACTGCCCTGGTTTTATTTAAACCACCCAAAGTTTAACCATGCTTCCATCACCTGGACAGCTTGTATTTCAAGCCACCACAACATTTACAAGACACCAAGAGTAAAGAAAAAAAAAAAAATCACTTCTGTCATCAAAGTAAAATTCCCACCTTCCCAGCTCACTCCACCACAAAGCACTTTCAGCTTTAACTTACCCATCCTTCTCCAGCAGTCAGCTCCGTCCTCCCAAGCTGCCCCTCCTTTCCCTTCCTCCCTTTGTACACAAACCCACCCTGAGAACGCACCTCGTTTCCAACCTTACCAAAGCGTGTCAATCAAGACAGACCCCGGGAAGATTTAGGCAACAACGACGTGGAGCAATTGGACCACGTGCAGGACCCGACACTAGAGTGTGCTGTGTAGGAAATAACGCCGCGAGATCTCCCTAGAAACCAGCAGGAACACCGAAGAAATGGATGAGTCCCTTCTGGGGACTCATCATTTCCCCCTGGAAATGCATAAAACTTCCTTGGAAGTTCCTGGTGAAGGCAGAGAGCTAAACAGAAAACACTGAATTTTGGAAAAAGGAAAGCAGAAAAAATGTCCAGGACAAGGAAATAAAAACAAAACAAAACAACAAAACAAAAACCAACAAACACAAAACAAAACAAAAACAAAAAACCACCAAAACAAACAACAACAAAACCAAAAACCAGTGAGGAGAGTAATATCAGATATTGCTCTATTTGTCTTAGTGGACTGTTCAGAAAAGCAGAGGTTTATATTCACAACATAAACCTGCTTTATTCTCTTCCCTTCTTTGGTTTATTTGAAGTATCAGGATAATTAGGGTTTGCATTTTGCCTGCAAGCCTGGCTGGGGCTGGAGAGACTGCAGAGAAATGCTCAGGACAAAGGAACACCAACAAAAACCCCAGAGCTCTTGGTGACTCCCAAGTATTGTCCCCAATTCACTGAGAGAAGCAGGCGAGGCACAGATGTTCAGCGCCTCTCCAAAAGCCCAGGCAGGCAGCACCACCCAAGCCAGAATCACAGCTCCACCTATTTCCACCTTGGGATCTCAGCATCTGAGGGACAGGCTTAGCTTACATAAGAAAATGAAAAACATATTAGACAAAATCTCTGTGGTTTGTTTGGTTTTTTTTAAGAAAAACAACTTACTGTTTTTATTTTGACAACAAAATTTAGAAACACTTTGACATACAGAACTCCAAAAAAACCCCAGAAAGTCATAAATCACCCAGTTAATTTACTAAAGAGGAAAGATACAGTACATCCAAAACTCAAAACATCTTGTGAGTTTATACAAAATCCAGACGGTAATAAATTGCATTAAAAAAATATATCAAGCGTTACCTGACTGATTCCACGTTGGCATCTGCCCCGTTATTCAAAGGCACAGAAAACTGAGCAATGAAAGCGATCGGCATCACATCCATCATTGTCAGTAAAGTCACCAAGATTAGCAAAAAACGTTTAATAATCACTGTGTAGATCCATAAGAAATCTCTCTTGGAAGGAGTAAGAAAATAAGGCTCGGAGACGACAAACCATTTAAACACGACACATCCCCAAGGCGCGAAAAGGCGCTTCCCAGAAACCGACGACGTTCCCGTCTCCCCAGAGCAGTCGCCCTGGGCTTTGTTTATCGCTCAGCAATCACTCAAAAAGAAGATTTTAATGATCCACAAACCCACCTCCCCGGCAGCGATCCCGCGAGGGCGCTGGGCCCTTGCTGGGGGCGTCTGTGGGCACGCCGAGGGCACCGTGGCACCAGCAAGCGCTGCTCCGGACCGGGAAGGGTTTGCCCGGCTCTCACCGCTCTCAGGGTGCCCAGGGTCACCCCGGGTAGCACATGCAGCAGCCAGCCTTGCCGAGCTCGGGCGCCGGCCTGCGCCGCGCGTCGTCGAAGAGCCGCTCGCCCAGCTTGTGCTCCGCGATGATGTCCTCCACGCGGGTGACGTACAGCAGGGACAGCAGCACGCCCAGGAACTGCCAAAGGAAAGGGTCTCTCTGCTCAGAGCTCACGGGCACAGCTTGCCTCGTGCTGCTCTCGCAGCAAGGCTTTACGAACTGCATATATGCACATCAGGTATATGGGCAGTGGTGTGTGTAAATATCTAACCTATCTATCTGTCTATACATTCACTTTGCGTATAAATGGGTATAAACGGATCGTTTTTTGTGAACTACTAACTCCCTGTCCTTTGGAGCGTTAGAAAATCTCAGTGGACACAGCCTGGGGAGGGAGGAGAGAAAAAAGACCCCCAAGCAAAAGAAAATTACCCCACCGAATCCTGCAAGGTGTGGCAGCAATGCTGCCAAATCACCAGAATGCTGCCTGGGCTTACCAGCTGCGTTACAGCAAATGGGATTTCACCTAGTGTAGCAACAAATCAGACGCTCCCTTCAGTGGGTAAGGCGGTGACCCCTCCCTACCTGGGGCAGCAGTATGCCGAGCAGCACTCCAGCCATGATGGTGTAGTTGTCCAAAAACCAGATCAGCACCGCGTTCGTGCACCCTCGGACGTAGATGACATTCTGAACGCTCAAGCGCTGCAAAACAGCAGAGTGAGAGTTCAGCAGGCAGCTCCACCGCTGTGTGACACACGTGGTGGTCACTCAGAATTCAGGGAGGCACATCTGGTTTGCCTTCCCACCTCTTTAAACCCACTGCGTTTAACAGAGACGTCATCACTAATCCTTCCATCTGTTCTTAAGTTGTTCCACATCTGCACAAGTTACCTTTCTAAACCTTTCTTTTTTTAGGTTGTTCCACACCTAAATAAGTTATTTCATTGCTTTAAACCTGTTTTTGCAGCCACTTTTCTACAAGAAATAACATCCAACTCTGATTTGAGACCACTTGGAAAGCAGAGAAGTCTCCCTTTAGCTTTCGTCTGTGCTCCTAAGCTGAAAGTACAGCAGTGGAAAAATATAAATTGTGGACCAAGTGCTTTGCAATAGACTCTAAAAAGGGCAGGAACAAGAGGGTTTGAGACTCAGTCCTGCAAGCTGTGCTGCTCCGTGACCCCAACCCATAATATGGAAAGCACTTGAGGCTGCAAAGGGTCCTAAGCAGATGAATGGGGTGAAGTTAAGCATATGCTTAAGTGCTCGGGGCATTGGAGCCAGGCTGGAGCGTTCAGGTGATTAAGCCGTAAATCAATTAACCCAAATGAAGACAAGTTGTGTGTAAAGATAACCAGTAATCCCAAAACCCAACAACCGAGGCCGGCATTGTGCTCCAAGTGCCTCAAATGGGCTGGGGAGAGGGGCTTTCCCAGAGCAGCCCCCCACACCAGCACTCCAGAGCCAGGAGGGGAGAACTCAGGGCAGATCCAATTACTGATTTCCCTTCTTAATCACTCTGCAATTACTGCCTCGAGCTGGCAGTCTCTACTCTGGAGTCACCAGGGCTATTCCCAAAAGGGAAAGCTGGAAGGAGGAGGCCCCATCCCGCTCCTGGAGGGAGGACAGGGCTGCCAACACAACCTGGGAAGAACCGCTCTTCTTCCAGGAATAACTATTGCAGGCCTAAAAATAAAAACCCCACTACTGGGATATAAAACACTTTAGAAACAGCTAAGTTGGCTTTACTAACACCAGTTTTACTCAGTGAGAAACTCTGGCTTGGGGAAGTTGTCATCAAACAAGGAATCGTGGAAAATATTGAGAAGGGGAGATACCACAATCAAACAAGATTAGCTTTTTTAATATGTGGAAGTTATTCCAGAAAAAAAAAATCATTTTAATTGCTGATTTAACTGTCTGGCAGATTGAAGCAAGGCAGAAGGCAACTTTATGACTGACCAAAAACAATGCAGGGAAGCAGCACCCTCTGCCACGGCAGGGCGGACAATGGTTACGTTACCTCTTGGTCGATGGTTTTGTATCCACACATAGTGTTGATAATGTCTGTCTGAAAAGAAAACAACAGATACAAACTGCAGCAGAAAACAAAAATCACAAAAACCATTATTTTTACTCTTCCTGTGTCTGCCCAGCCCATACAAAACCACAGACCAGGGTTATTTCCCAGTCCGACACCAGTTTCTTCCAGCAGGCCCAGGGTCAGATTTAGTCAGAGCTCTACAGGATTTCAGAGAAATGAGCACTGTCAGTGTGTCACAACACATTTGAGCCATATCTATCCAACAAAACCAGTGTGGCATCAGCATCAAAGAGAGCTACAACACAGCAGTTTCCACAGAACGAACAGCTTGGGTTTCACTTTAAAGCCTTAATAACTTAACACATCTTACTAAGAAAACCAGTGGTTAACATAAAATGGCCTTCATGCCATCACAACGACAAATCTAAGCTCAGAAATATCTAAGCTTCAAATAAGGTCCAATACTACGAATGCTTGTGTGAACATTTCACAAGACTGAGTTTATTACAATGTAATTTTATATACCACTACTTATATGAATTGAAAATTCATATATTTTTAAAAAGCACTGAGTGCTTGCATTCACCACAAATTACTAACACATTTCTTGTAGCCACGTAATATTTTTCTGTGGGTTCCAAAGTTTTACCTGGCCTGGCAAAGCTAACCTGAAAATACCCCCCTCACTTACAAATCATCCAAAACATAAAGCCCACCAGCATCAAAGAAAGCAGCGAACAAAGCCAAAGACATGGAAGAAAATGAGAATATGGAAATGAGAAAAATAAGGCAGAACAAACTGTGTGATTGATATGGTTTGGGTTGGACCATCCAGTGCCACCCCCTGCCATGGGCAGGGACACCTTCCACCAGCCCAGGTTGCTCCAAGCCCCGTCCAACCTGGCCTTGGACACTTCCAGGGATCCAGGGGCAGCCACAGCTTCTCTGGGCAACTGAATACCCCCTCCCCCAAAATTAAAACAAGATGTAGGAATGACGATTTCTAAACGCTGCTGGTCTCTGAGTGGGGTAGCCTGGCATCCCCAGGTCACCTTCCCAAGAAGGAAAAGAGGTGTTTGCCAAAGATGGAAGATGGGCGCTACAAAAGGGCAGAAACAGCAGGCAGGGTCGAAGTTCTTAAGCCCCCAAAATCTGGGCTCCCACCTTGAATAGACAACAACTGTACATGACCACAAGGAAGGCAGTCACATCGTTTCATTTGAAACCGCATTTGCCAACAGCACATCGTGGCATAAGCAGGGCTTATAGATGCAGCAGGGATAAATGCATTAGAAACAGAGGATTATAGGCATTTGGGACTAATTTTTACCTGCTACACTAGTGTAAGTCTTTCATAAATACTTTGACTTAAACACAGTTCCTTCAGAGCCCCCCCAGCGTGAGCCTGGCTCGTGTTAGCAGGAGGCTTTTTAAAGAGGATCAGAATCCAACCTCCAACATTAGCAGGAGTTTTCCATGACTACAAAGCCAATGAGTAATCACAAACCCTATCTGCGGCTTTCCAGGAAAGAAACCAGCCTGTATTTGGAAGCATTTGTCAAACATACAAGATTTATGCATCCTCTGGTTGGCTTTTTCCCCGAGGCAGCCATCCCTGCAGCCCGGTGTTGGTGTCACCCTGCCGGGCAGCGTCTGCGCCGCTCGGACTCCACGAGGCCCAGCAATGCCACGAGTGTGGCAAAGCCCTGAGCCCCAGTGCACTGCAGCATCCTTGATCAGCAGCCTGTGCTTAAATATGGAGTTTGTTTGTGATTTGGGTGGCTTCTCCTTGCCTTTCAATTCACCTCCCTGAGCTTAACACTTCACAAGCAGCCTCGCCCCTCCCATGTCCAGCTGTCAGTGAACCACACGGAGAGTGTACTCCCCATTTTCCCTCGGAGAAGTTTTTATTTTAGTGCTTTCCCTTTCCTGAGGGCAAAATCCTGGGTTATTCTGCTCCATGCAGCTGCAGATCAGCAGACACTACGTTCATATACACAAATATCTCACTCTCAAGCACCCAAGACTCAAAGCATAACTGTTTAGCTTTGGTTCCTGAGAATAAATCAAAGCTCGCCGCAGATTTAAACAGACCCTTTCTCACGCACCAAAAATGCGTAAGCACATGTAATAAACACCTTCACATGAGACACATTTCTCAGCAACACCTACTGACGCAGCCATTGCGTTTATTTTCGCTGTTTGTAATTAAACAGCCGTGCTCAAGGCAGATGTTGAGAGGGCAGCCCAGAGCAGGCACCAGCAGCTCTGCTGTCTCCTCTTACACACACTCAATTTTCTCTGTCTCAGTTTATCTCTGTTCTTTGTTCAGAACAAAGATAAAAAACCCAGCGAGGCAAGGATTATTGCCTGGGCTGGTTTTAAACTGAGGAACAATCCTTCATCAAATTCAACATTGTATATATCCCTCAAATGAAGGGCAATGAACTATAAAATTGAAAGATATTTTTATGAAACTCAATGCCTGCTCCTCCTGCCGTCAGCACCAGTTAATACCAGTTCATCAAAGATGGAGAAACTGGTCCAGACCACCCCAGTCCTTCCAGGATTTTAGAGAGTGGGAAGGCAGGTGGTTTTCAAGGACAGGTTAGGCCAGAGCAGCAGCCCTGGTCTAGACCTGTGCCCACAGGCATGCCCTGATCCTGAGGTCAGTTGCCCACATTTCTGGAGTAAGCTGGATGACGAGGTCACTCTGGGTTTTAACTCACACAGCAGCTGGTGCACATCACTCCAGCCCCCACCCACGGAAGCAATCAGGGCCCAGGCTTCCTGGCAAAGCTGGAGCAGCAAACCCTGGGGAAAACACCAGCAAAACTCAACTTCAGGCAGCTCTCATTCAGGCCAGCCATGAGTTCAGAGGAGCTCCCAAGATCCCTTCTGGGGCTGCGCAGTGGGGTCAGTACGACGGGGCAGAGCCAACACATCGAACCCCTTTTATTTTCTCCTTTTCAAGCAGTCAAGACCCACAGATCCATCAGGGGAGGGAAGGACCCATTTTCCTTCACTTCCCACCCCAGAATTCCTAAAGCAGCCTTTCTAAGTGAACCCCATGATGCTGAGGGGCCAGGACTTACCTTATTTCTGATGCAGCAAGTGTAGGGCACCCCACAGGCCAGCGGGCCCGGCGCCCCACAGTTGTGGTACACGTTTTGGGACCAATCCTTGTAATCTTCCCCACCACAGCACTTAAACTGGGAAAAAAAACAGCACAAAACTCAGTGATCTTCAAGGTCTTTTCCAACCTAAATGGTTCTACGATTCTAAAATGTTAAAGGGGAAGTAGGTGAAAAAATCCTATCTTGAAGTCTTTGAATAAGTAGAAAACAAAGTTAGAATAAAACAATTTAAAAAGCCCTGAGCCACCCAAAAAATTCTGTCATTATATCAGCAAGGCATGTATGAATGTACATGATAGACAGAATTAAAAAGAATTAAGGGTATAGGTGGCACTCCTCCATCACTCATCCAGCTGTAACCCGGGGTGCCAGAGCAAAGCACCGGTGGCTGAGTTCCACTTCCCATCTTTTCCAAGTTGAAAAATTATCTTTCCAGGTCTGGACATCACTAAGCAACACTTTTAAATTCATTCTATCTTGACCTGTAATAAATTCCCGCAGTTGTCTGAAGGATTATGACTACATTTCCAACTGGGTGTAAAAGACAAAAGCATTGCTATGAGGCATAAATCAATCTCACCAAAACATTAGGGGGTGTGATTTAGAAGAGCTGAAATCTGCCAAACAAATACTGTAAGTTTACGCTGATTTCATACAAATATTCACTTTATAATTTAAACAAAGGGAAAAGCAGCAGTTCATTTAATCAGTAAGATGTATATTGGCTGTATGTATCCATAATTTTGGGCAGTGCATGGAAACTTTAAAGCATTATGAAGTTCTAGTGACAGAATTTCCTCAGGATGGTTTGCTTTTGACAGACTTTCCATGCTAACTTTGTTTTTCAAAGCAGGCTGCCATCTCCATAACGATGTCCTAAAACACATGCAACACCTCCTAAGTTAATTTTTTTTTTAATCACTACTTGGCAAAGCCATGGACATCACATGGGCCCTGACATCACACTTCTAAACATTTTCTGCTTCTTCTATAGTCTCTGAACCGCATGGCAGAACTCTTCAATAACCCCATAAACATTTCAACAGACCAGCCTTATTAAAGAAAAAAAAAAAGGCTGTGAGTCAACTCCACGTGCCATTAAGTAATGCTCAGCTGGGCTCAGCAGCACTTCTCAAGTTTAATAACAGGTATATGCACTTCCACGGGCATTTCCTTCCACCAACCACCTTGTCAGAGAGCTCTCTGGGTGCCCTCGAGCGACAACACAACACGTTGTGTTCTAACAGCCTAAATGCCACCTCATTTCTCTTTATCCACAGTGCCTCCTGTTAACAGGATGCTTCTGAATCTCCTGGACCAGCAGAAACGCTGAGCTGCAAGGCCTTGGGTGGAATTTAGGCTGAGTTTCTCTGAGTCCAGCCGTGGGGTCTCCATAAGCCCAACGTGTTTGTAGGATCTGACCCTGAGCATCTGAGTGGCACCTGCCAAGGCCAAAGCTGCATTTTGGCCCCCTGTTTTTTATCAGTGACGTGGAGGGTTTTAAATGCCAGCTGGAATGCTGGGTGAGCCCTGATCTCAGCGACACCAGAACAGGGGCACACAAGATCCCACCCCTCTCATCACTGAGAATTTGATTATCACATCACTGGAAAAACCCAAAGCTGTCGCCAAGGACCCGCTGCATGCTGGCACCAAGTCAGTCCCAGGGAAAAAAAAAACCCAACAACAAACCTGCTTTTGAACAGAATCCATGATGTTCTTGAAGTCTAAATCATCATAGTAATTCTCAATTCCTCTTCTGATGTTATCGTTCAAAAACTTGATTGTCTGTAACAAAAGGGAAACAAGGTTCGTGGGTTGCACACACAGAAACAAAATCGGAACAGCAGGTTAAGGTGACAAGTGTAACTGCTGGAAACAAAAAGAAAAGGCTTTTTTCTTTAAGGAAAACCCAAACCCTAGTTAAAACCAAATCCTAGCTCAGCCCTGCAGGGCCCAACCATCTGTTGTTTCTTGTGGAAGCAGCCACACTGCTGGGTTTGGACTCTCCAAGCATCTCCCAGACACGGTCCAGCTATCCCCAGGCAGGATCCCTCCCTCTGGGCCCTTGGGATCCTCACCACCACCTGGGTGACAGAACAGTGGATCTTGGGTCTGCACCACAGCCCGAGCAACAAGAGCTGACTGTGTCACCACCACCTTCCATGAACTTTTATTTTCTGTGAATTTTCCATTAATTTGATTTTCCAAGGAGTCCATAACTGCCACATAAGGAGCTTTGTTTCACCTGAGGCAGAAAAAAAAAAAAAGGGTATCTGCATGTTTTACAGCGGGTTTTTTGAGAAATATTGGCAGATATAAGATGGACTCTCCTCAGCACGGCAACTTAGAAATTAAAGCAACAAATTTTCAAGATCCAGCACAATCACAGCACAGTAAAAACAGGGCCTAATCATAACCAGAATGTAACGACTTCCCTTTCAATCCAGCTGCTAAAATACCCAAAGCTAAAAATCCTTACAGGTCAGCAAACCTGAAATACAACCACTCATCTTCTCAGTATTACAAACTGCAACACTTACACACAAACCAGAACAAAAAAGCATTAGCACATCGGTGATGACAAACAACAATTTGCAGGACCATCCTGACTGGCCAGGAACCTCATTTAGACCCTACAGATCTGAGAGGGCAGTGGAGAAAGAAATGGGGGGAAAAAAAAATCAGCGAGACATGCAAGACAAACAGCACCTCAATAAAGGCTGCTACCCTAAGCTTTTATAAACACTTCCTTGTCCTCCCCATACTGACCCAAACTTCTCCATTAACCTTGAAAAACAAGGAAAGAAACCTGTCCCTAAGCACAGCTGTCCTGCTTTTGTCCAGCACGGAGTAAGAAGAAAGCACCAGCCAGAGACAACATAGCACTACTTCAAAATAACAAAAGAGTTATTATTTTTTTAATCTTTTTTTAAGTTGTTGTTGTTTTGTGGGTTTTTTTAACATCACATGTATGTATGGCTTTTGTGGAAAATGAGCTTGGTAGGATTTTGGGGTGGGGAAGGAACGTCTTGTTATTCAGCATCTCCTTTTAATGCTCATATTTTGCCAGACTAGAAAAACAAGTCAAAGCACAGCAATCTAGTACTTGCCATAGCGAGCACATTTATGTTTTAAAGCATTTCTAACTGAAAAGAACAGCATGCTGCTTTCTGTCTAGAAAAATCAAGGTTTTAATACAGTAATAGCGTGCTTGTGAATGATGGGGTCTCTTACATAAATTAATTATGTTGCTTATGGATGTGGGCAGGGAAAAGCTGCCCTTCAGGTTAGGTAAAACATTTTGGCCGCTAAAAAATAACCAAGTCTCCAAACCCACCTGGAAACTTCCCAAATCAGCAGTCAGACCCAGATGGCAAAACAGGAGAAAGCACTTTGTAATACACAAAGAGCTGGAAACTTGTTTTGCCTGTATTGCACACTCGTAGTTACCAGATTTCCTCCAAACTCTTTGATCTGGAATTCATCTCCAGAGCAGGAGGCAAATCCCACCCTCGCTGAACCCTGGAGGCCCTGAAAGGCCTGGACCTGTCTTCGGACCTCCATCGATTGCTGCTCAGTGACAACTTTAACACCTTTTATTTTGCACACCTGGAACTTCGTGGCTCTTAAGTCACGTTCTCTGTGAGATCCAAACCTGAAGACAAGGAGCTCACCTGGTTTCTGAAGATCAGGGCCACCACTCCACCGGTCAGCTCGATCAGCAAGCAGATACCAAGGATGTACATGAACTGCAGGAAAACAAGTGCAAGTGACTCATTAGACAGAACAAACCCCAATTATTCCTTCAATTAGCGCCCCTGAGTCTAACATTCAGTTGCCAAGAGATTTGGCTTCCAGCAAACGAGATGGCATTTTAAAGAAGATGATAGGAAATTGTGGGTGTGTTCTCATAAAACTCCGCACGTCACCAGAAAGCCATTTTTCCTCGCTTGAGTTATTCTGGGTTTTGCCCAATTGGCAAACACGTTGTTTGTCTGCTTTGAATGGTCTCAAAACCATTAGATATATTTATCATGCCAAGATACTTCTTTCCACAACAGCACCCCAGAGAAGCACACTGATGGACTGCTATGAACCTCACCAAACTTCATGTTTTTATGTCTCCTACAGAACCAGTGCTTACCTGTTGCTGCCAATTAGTGGGTGAAGCAGCAACCTTAAGATAATCCAAACCACCTTCTACTAAATTGCCAGCACTAAATCAAAGCAAAGTTCCAGGCTTGGTACCTTTTACTATGCTGCTGTACACATTTATCTGTGTGTGTATCTATCTACACATGCTCACAGATGCACTCACACCACACGTGCACCTGTGGCTTCTCATCAAAGCACGTGCAAAATACGAGTAACACGAAGAAATCCACAGCACCATGAGATGGCTGCAAAATACCAGCACCTGAAATGTTTTTCTAACCCTTCAGGCATAAAAGATGGTTGTTATGTGAATTTGGGTCTGCCTGTGGAACAGTGAACTTCAAGGGAGCGGAGTGTTATGATCCCTCGTCTGAAAATAACCCCTAATGCTCTCCTCTCAAAGCTGGTTTAACTTCTGTGTGCTCTATACCCAGTATCAGTGTCATGAATTCACCAGGCAGGTATCTTTTCTCCTGCTAAATCTGGAATCAGCCTAAGAGGCAGGAATCAGGGACCTGCTTTGTTAAATACCCAACCGGGTTTGCTACCAGAACAGGAACGGAAAATGTTCTCAGCATCAGACACGCCACCACACTCAGTGTGAAAGAAGCCTAAGGATGGGATCTCAGTAAAACTCCAGCATAACTTCCAAATCCACCATTACTTCTGGCTTTGATTGTTGTGGTCACCCACAACATACCACGTATTCAGCATTTCATTGGACTGAACTGGCATGACAAGGCCAGGCTGGACTGGGTTTTGAACAACCTCGTCTAGTGCAAGGTGTCCCTACTCATTCCAAGGGAGTTGGACTACATGGTCTTTAAAAGGTCCCTTCCAAACCAAACTATCTCTGATTCTGTGGAGGCGAAAAAGATGTTTCCCCACTTTATTTTTAATTAGTCGCACGTGCAACTTCCATCTGCAACCACAGCGTTAAGCAGGAATTCCCCTAAAATTTACTCTTTCCCAGGCACTGGAGAGAAAAACCTTGTCCCTTTCATTTCACCCTCAGGGCCCTTCTCTCAAATCCCCAAGCTACTCAGCTAGCCTTGTACCACACACTTCCACATCTACCCCTACATTCCGCTTCCCGGGGGAGGACAGGCAGACTCCAGCCACCACCAGACATCAGCCCGAGCCAGGATTTCCTTCTTGAGCTGCTTCCTCCAAGCTTCAAATGAGAAGCCAGTGTCAAATGGCATGTCAACAGCTGAGCTTGCACAACATACACACCGACTGACAGTAGTCAAGATTCCTGGTTATTTTCCATAAAAACCTTAACTACTGGGAAGTTGGTTTTCTCAGCGCCAGGCTCGCGCCCTCGCCGGTCACTGTCTGCTGCCACGGGCTGCTGCTCCCTGATGGAGGGATCACTGCCATTAAATTCAGATTTCATTAAAATAAAGCAACTTCACTAAAACATTTTTCAACGCAGACACAGTTATGGGGTGTGAATTCAGAGGGCACTGAAGAGCGGAAGCAAAGCACTGGAAATCAGGGATAAAAATCACAGCACTTACAGCTTGCAGAAGGCACAAGTTGTCCCTCAAGGAAGCCAGCACACCCACAAAGGACACCAGGAACATTATAACGCCCAGAAGTATTAAAATAATTGCTGGGGCTAGAAAGGCACTCTCTAGAGTTTTGTACTTCTGCCTTTCGATTTCTGCGTAAATCCCCACGGCGAGGACGAGGGCTCCGATGATCTGGAACAGAAACAGAGGAGAGCACGGATGTTATTCCTTCTCCCAGTAAACACAGGCGTGACATGTTGTGAGTGCACAGGAGCCTGGGACTGCTCACTTCAGGATTCATTATAAACAGAGAAACACCCAAAGCAGAAGTTCAGATAAAGAGAAGTTAAGAAAAAAACCATCAGAACTCAAAGACTAGGGCAGAAAAAGAGCTGTGTTGGAAATAAAAAAATCAAATTTATTCATTTCAAAAATATTTTAGCATGCTGGAAGTTAAACAAACTGAAACATACAGCACTGATTGAAATGTAACTTATTGCTCATCTGAGATCACATGTATTACATATATGAAAAAAACTGCCGTGGCATTAATGATCCTCCTTTGCTTGTCTGTTCTTCTCCCTGTGTATGTATAAATATATATATATATTTAACATAACAGTTTCTAAGCCCATCTGCAAACAGCTTATCCATCCCTTCATACCAGCTCCTATTGCATTTAGGCTCAGTAAACACAGCCAGGTATATCCTACACCTCCACCCCTACCATCAGGAGAAAGGCACTGGATTAAAAAAAAACAAAAAAAAAACCCAAAAAAATCCAAGTTTGAAGTTACTCTCACGTTCTTGAGCCTGATAAAGCCAGAAGTGAAATACGAAGAGACATATTTCATTTAAAAAGGCAAAGATACTTCCATCAAAATAATTAGTTAAGTCAAAATCACTTATTACTAAGCCTATGGCAGGCTGCAAATAGCTTTGAGTTATGCTGAATTAATTAAAATTAAAAATAGCCCACAATACTTAATCACGAAAATTGCAGTGGAAAAACTTTCCTGCTGACTCCAACAGCCAGACACATCCTCAGGGAAGAGACCAGATACAAATCAATCATTTTGGCTATGTGATAAACAACATTCCTCTTTCCTGACATGACATTTCCACGGGTCTGCTCCCTGCACACCGACCCTTCTTAATTACACTTCTTCATTTTTAATTTCACTTCTTAGTTTTGGATATGAACACGGTATATCCCGGGCAAAGGGCTAGGTGAACACACAACATGATTTACAAGAACGTGAGCCAAACAGCTGGAATACTTTTTTTAACTATGAGATGTCTTAAAATAATTAACAACATACTGGAAATCCTCGACGTTCTAGGGGAATGAATAATATCCCCAAAGGACAATATGTGGGGAGTGCCACCAAGTTGTCATTTAAAAAGCCAATTCTCAGGAGGGCTCACCCATAAGAATAAATACACTGAAGCTATTTAAAAAGCAACTTAAAATTTGATGGGAGCAAATTGAGAGTGACTCCCCCTCTGACAAATGCAGAAATTGTGCTGTAGTGATGACAGAAGAGAAAACACTCTGGGCAGATAACAGGTAACAAAATTTATAACTGTAATTGGTTTGTTTTTTTTTTATTACCAGATGGTCCATTTGCACTGCCAGTTTTATTCTTTAAAGAGATTGGAGGTTTGGGTAATACGTTATTGATTTCTTTTCAGGCAGATGACAAAATAAACAAATCAGTTAGAAATTTTTAAATGCAGCTCTAACAGCTGAGGATGGAGTCTCAGCACCACACAAACCTAACACAGCCTATAAAATTGGGGACTGTACTTGTACACACGACTCAGGAGTTCTATTATTATTATTATTGTTAATTTTTTTAAAAATTATTTTAAAACCCCAAAACCAGACTCTCCTGCAAACGCTGAAATACCATTAACAAAAGCAACACTAACTCTTGCCTAGAAAAGTAAAAAAAAACCCAAAACATTGGACATAAACCATAGCTATTAAAGCTTGAAGAGGATTATCAGAATTTCAGAAGAGCGCTGTTTCAAGACCAGAACTTTTACTGAACTTTCTTTTTCTTAACCATGGTTTTCTCATCAAAACATCAAATTTCAGAGTTTTTTGCTTGTTTCAGAGATTCAAAGGCGCCTGTGAGTAAAATACAAGGCACATTTCCACTTTAAAAACCTTAAGATACATAGACACACGTAACATCTCGTACACATCTCTCTTCACCCCTTTTCATTTGCACTTTTGCTCACACACCCTCCAAGATTTACGCTTTTATTATCTTCTACTTTTTTTTATGCATTTAACAAAAATCTTTTGAGCCTTTAATATGGTCAAACCAGCAGCAGCAATTATTTATGACAGGCAGATGTGGTAACCTAGCAGTCATCCCACCCGAGTCTCCTCTCGGCCCTTCCTGTGGCTGGGGCTGGAGACACAACTCTTATGTAGGGAACTCACTGATACAGGGGCTGTTTACATCCTGCATCCTTCCTAACAGCTCCCAGCTTGGCAATTCCAGCTGTGGACGCAGGAAAAATTAACTGGCCTTGACTCACATTAGATCAGCATCCACCAGCAAATACCAGGGGACTTCTCCGGGGCTTTTGCATGCACAGAAGCTGCTTTCCCAAGAGAAATCAAAAGCATTTATTTATTTATAAGCAGAGGTTTTAACCCTGTATTTACAGTACTTATTCTTAAATAAAGCAGCCGTTCAACACAGCAGCACCTTCTGTTTAAATTGCTGGGTTTTGCTTCAGCCAGGCGAGAAAAATTACATTACAGCTACATTCACCAGCAGAAGAGTTACCTGGAAAAGTTACTGGGATAACCAGTTTTTTAAAAAGTGCTGGCTAAGACCCATGAGAAGACACAGGGCCTGCAGCAAACAACCCCTCCGACACTCCCAGTGATGCTTTAATTTCCTCTCTGCGCTGGATAAGGCTCATTATTTAGTTCCTGGTGGTTTTAAAGCCATCCTGGGGATTCGAATCTGGGCGTTCATCGCTCGTAATGTACCAGAGAAACAGCTACAGCAGGGAGGGAATTGAATGAACTCAGCATCCAGCAGGTCAAAGCCCCAGACGGCCACAGAACATCACAAACCACCCGAAATTTAAGCAAGCCAATACTCCACAGCCAAACTTTTACTTCCACTTACACCAATTAAAAAACAAACAAACAAACCAAAAGAAACCAAACAAACAAAAAAACCCCATCAAACCCCCAAACTCAGCAAGAATAACACAGCTGAAAAGAGAACCGGGCGAGTGGCATTTACAGCTGATGAGATCTGCCTCGCTAAGCTGGAATGAAAGGGAATTTCGCGAGCGGAGCCCACAGGCTGCCCCTCGCACAATACGGGGCGTGTTCGGCCCCAGCGCCGGGATGATGCCCAGCGCCAGCCTTCCTTCCCCCGAGCTAAAGGCCAGCATTCCCATCCTTCCTTCCCCCTCCCGCAGCCCCCATCCCTCCCCCTCTCCCTCCCGGAGCAAACCATCTCCCCGGCGCAGCCGACAAAGGGAAGCTCTTGGTTATAAACAAGGGCAGAGCATTGAAAATCCACAGCGAGCAGCCACAAAGAGTAAATAAAATCCCTCGGGCTGCCTGAAAGGGGCTTTGTCCTCCGCGGGCGCTCCGGGAATCGCTTCAAGAAGGGCCCTTTCTCCGCCACCAGACGGAATGCTCGCATCCCACCACCACGCAGGGCCCTCGGTGCCCACGGGAAGCGAGGAGCAGACAACGAGGAGCTCGGCCCTCCGCCGGGGAAACGGGGGTGGGAAAATAACACTCCGAATTTCTCCCTCCCGAAACTCGCACCTGCGGAATGGAGGAACGCAGGAAAGTGTCGTGTCAGGAGCCTGAACCCGAGGGTTGGCTTGTCTGCTCAGACAGACAAAAGATAAGATATTCAAGATCCCCAAAAGCCTGAATTGCACCCGAACACTCCGTGTTTCAATCTTTTTTTCATTAAATCGTATCTTTAATCAGACAACCTACTATCAGAGCTGGTGGATCTAAAGGTCTCCTCCCACGCAGCGCACTAAAAGCTTTTATGATCCCACTTGGCAAACACCGTGTCAGACAGAAACAGGCCGGCCAAACAGGAGCCCAAGCAGCGTTGAAACTGAAAAGGCCAGAAAGAAATCCCGCCTGAGCGTCTCCGACATCAGCACAGCCCGGAGCCGGCAACACCTCAGGATCCCAGAGCCCGTAAAAGCATCTTTTAAAATCATGGTGCTTACAAAGCGTACTTAAAAAGAGCCCCAAGGGCTCCTTCCAGCACGGGGGGTGCCTGGTCTGGGTAGATTTGCCACATGTCAGGAGTCAGTGGTCGTAGCCTGGCCCCTGCGACTTAATGGCTTTCTCCAGCACCTGGATGAGGACAGCAAGTACCACACACCTGTAACTCTCTATAGCGTCGCAGCCTCACCCCGCCAAGGCTCGGGAGAGGGCTTATCCCATACACGGGTGAGTGACGTTGTAGGGCAAAGGCTCTATTTGCCCACCTCCCCCGGGGGAAAGAGCCGCGTTTCAATACGCGCACGGACGACTTTTACCTGCCCGACTTCCAACTCCTGCAGCTCCCCAACCTCCAAAACCAGTTTGTCAGTCCCTAGGGAAGGTCGGGGCGCTGCCACGGGTGTGACACCCGCCACCTCAGCCGCGGAAACACCCACCGATTGCCAAAGCCCGGGGCCTGGCGCAGGGGGACCCCGCTCCGTGCCCGGGCGGGGGGGACGCGGGACTGCCCGCTCCGAGCCGAGCCCCCCGCACAGCCCCGCCCGCCGCTCACCCAGAAGAAGGTGGAGTAGGTGATGAGGCTGAGCTTGAGGCAGAGGTAGGAGAGCCGCCCGCAGTACCGCGCCTGCTCCGGGTCCCCCGCCGCCATCCTCGCTCGCTGCCGGCCCGCGGCACCTGCCGCCGCTCCCGCCGCTCCCGCCCCTTCCCGGCTGGAGCGGGGCGGGCCCGGGGGCGCCGCCGCTTCCGGAGCGGGACCGGCGGGGACACACGGCGAGCGCCGGGGAGGGAGCGCCGGGGAACCTCCGGCTGCGGCTTTCTTCGTTTTTCCGCCTTTTCTTTTCTTTTTTTTTTTTTTTTTTTAATTCCCAATGCCGCCGGCAAACACGCCTGGCCGCTCGGTCGGGGTTATCCCCGCAGCCGGTTATCCCCTTTTCAGCAGGAAAAGCAGATCCGGCCGCTCCAGCGCTGCCGCCAGAGCCACGCGGGCACCCCCAAAACCTCCGCGGTCGCCGCTGAAACAGCCCGGACAAAAACACTTCGGTGGGAAGCTCCTGCTGCCGGGATTCTGGGTCGAGCATCCATTAAACACGGCAAAGCAGGGTCCCTGGGCGCTACACCGGCACGGTGGAGCAATACAGGGGCATTTACCTTTCGTTGTAAGACCCACGCGATTGTCCAGCACGTCCTGCAAATAACAACAGTTAAGTGGGCGTTTTGCACTGGCCGCTTTTTTTCTGCCTGCACCGAGGTTCATCCACGTCCCGCTGCTGGGACAGCGCTGGGTCTGGCACGGCGATCATGAACTGCAAACGCCGTTCATGCCTCCGAGATGAAATAAGCCCTTTCAAGCCCGCAGCGCCGCACTCCTGTCCCACAAAGGGCTATTTTTCCCCGGGGAAAAAAAAAAGTCTCATTCAAAGTGGCAGACAACTGTCACGGAGTTGGTTGTTGCGTCCTGGCCCGGAGCAGGGACAGATGGCGTTGAAAATCAGCGTCTGGTGTCAGAGGAGATGAAGTCAGGGCAGCATTTGTCCTTAAGTTACCTAGGAAAGAGACTGGAAAACCCCCGAGCTGTGTGCGTAAAACTGTGCAAGCAGTCAGTGACACGGCATTTCGTTAGGTCATACAATATACCAAAACCTTGTTTAGAAAGGCTAAAAAATATCCCTGGAAAATTCTGCTGTAAAAAGCACCATGGCTTTTCCATGCAGTGCTACATTCTGCTTCTGGGAAACAAATAATCCAGCCCAGGACCCATCCGGTAGCTCTTTAATGTTTCTGAAAATAATACAATGCCCCAGAGCATTCGTCCTCTAAAACGTCACAACTTCCATTTTTCAGACAGATTTGCAAATATCCCTGACACTTACCAGTGGTGTGCAGCCTGGAAATAACATCACATACCGTGGAAATAACATTAGAGTCTGCCACAGGTTCTTCAAGTCTCATGGGTGTCATCCCCATCCGAACATGTTCCTGTCACTTAGACATCTTCCTTGTTTGAGTATTTACTTAAATTAATAGTTTTGGTGTGACTTTCTTAATGCCTTGCCTTGTCATTTGTGCTGATTTCTGCAAATAAAATTTCAGGGCAGGTCCAGCTGGATGGGGAAGCTGATTGAAAGGAGTGTCCGTTTTCCTGTTGTTTTCACTCTGAACGGAGCCAATGCATCAAAACAGGTTCCTGTTATGAAACTGTATGAAAATAATTGACTAACCTCTTTCTTTGCCTAAATCCCAGACTTTGTACATTGAAATGACATAACTTCTGGGCACAGTTAGTACAGTTCAGCAGCAAACAGTGGTTAAAAGTAAGATGTTATGAACTGCCTGTGGTGCTGAGGGTCCTTCTTGGTTGTGTTCTCTCCCTCTCAGCCCAAGGCAGCACAGAGCAGCAGTTTTCCAGCAAGGAGTCTGGCATCTCTGCCAGCATTGAGGCAGATCCTGCATTACAGCATCTGCTCCTGGGACCATCCCATAGCTCAGCTACTGATGGTTTTGTTCGTATTAAGGATCAGTAACTTCCACATTTCCTCACTCATCTCCAGGGCTACCCTACCGGGGTTGTCCCAAGGACAGTCATCAAAAGCTATGGACTGCAGAACATTTGACCCAGGGAACAGGAACGCTGCAGAAGAGGAACTGAACCCACAGCCCTGCATCAAAGTGTGTCAGAAAGACCCAAAGCTTTTCAGAGCTACTAAGAGGAATTTTTCTGCTTCCTTCCAGCCCGTGCCTGGCTGATAAAGCTGCAGGCCAGCTGCACTTTCCCCCACCCAAGGTGGATGCTCATGGTCCTGCTCTCAGACCTGTTCCCTGGACAAAAGTTCTTCCTCTCAAAGCAGTCCAACTTGCAATACAATTAAACCCTCTACTGCCTGTATTACCTTGTATTATGTTTCCAAAACACAAAACATTTCTCAGTCACCCTTCCTGACCTTGCAGACCTGCATCTTTTGTTTGCATCTCTCACCCTTTGCTCAGACCTGGGATCAGTGACTCAACACAGGAACATTTGGCCTTGAACAATCCTGCCCATAATAAAAACAACAGTGAAAACAGCCAAACCCAAAAACCCTTCTCCCAGATAGTCCCCTTCTCTGGCATAACTCCAAAATCATTGGAGAGATGAGTTTTACCCCAGGCAAATGTGACTTCCCTGAAGAATTTGGAGCCCACCTTTATCAGAAATCACTCCAGTTTTCAAGTCAAAAGGTTGACAGCACACACTAAGTCACTGGCAGGGCTCCAGGATGATAACCTTGTCAATGCACAACCAGCAAAGGAATAAAAGGTGTGGGTGTGGATAAAGGAAAGCAAATCCCTCCTGACTTGTACAATGAAATATTGACCAAAGGGTGACTGTTCTCCGATTATCACCCAAGTAACAGATCAGGAACCAGGGCAGACGGTTCAGAAGAAGGTTCCTAGGAAACCTGGACACCCTGACCGTCTTCAAGTGGTTTCACCACTGGAAGGTCATTAAGTACAGTCCTTTTTCCAAGTGTTTGCTTATGCTTTGCTTTCCATGACTGATAAAGCACTTAAGCTGCGCTCTCACCTAAACATAGGGAGGGTTTTGCTCTGGTTCTCCTTGGAATTTGCAGAGATTTGAGAGGTGAAGGAAAAGAAAAAGTCTGAAGAACGCTATTATCTGGTGAATTCATGTTGCAAATCAGGAACAGCCCTCCTGGAGACTGTGTACAGAAAGTGAAAGGTCCATAAGCTGCTTAATGAGGCGTCAGCAGAAGACTTTGAAGAAGAGCCTGGAACAGCTTTGCAATGCATGCTGGAAGATATGGACAAGCGTGGTTTTGCAGTTCCTGGGTAGGGAAGTGAGTGGGATTGCCTGCAGGGAAGTCTATTGTGAAGAGAAGGAGATATTTAGTACCACAGGTGCTGATTTCTTACAAAACAACACTTGGGTAATATCATATCTGCTTTAAAGAGTTGCAGGGGTTAGGTGATGGGTTATCCCAAGGCTGCCTCCAGAAATTAATTAAGGAAGGAAAGAGTCCAGGCTGAGCTGGTTGAGAGGATCCTGAATGGATAAATACTGCCCTGTTACAGGAGAGCCTGGCACAAGCTGCAGCTCCAGGACCTGGCAAACTACTGCCCTCCCAGCACCCTGCATGCTTTCTGAACCCTGAAAAAAGGTTTTCATACCTGAAGCGCTTTCAGCTTCCAGGAGAGCAGGCACGAGCCAGTGCCAAGTACTCTTGGAAAGCTCAACCTCAGTTTGTTGTTTATGTTTCTGCTCTGAACTTAAGAGCTGGCAGCGAGCAAGAACCTGTGCTCCGAGCAGAGTCAGGGCTTCCTCTTCCCTGTGAGGACCCGAAACTTCTGCTGGTGTGAGGGCACCACATTTCTAGAGCGCACCCTGGGAAAGGGGATGCAGCCACCTAAAAAGAAGGGCCTTGCTGAATTGCATTAAATGCGGCTTCTCTCTTGCTGTGAGAGCTCGTGGCAAAACCAGGGAGAGTCCTGGAAACTCAAGGATTGCAGCACTGGTAAATCTGGCAAAGTTTACCTTTGCACTTATGCCTGTAAAATCCTGATACAGCAGCATGACCATTTCAGAGGTTATTAAAAACAGAAGGGGGGGAGGAAACTTCAAGTACCACTTTGCCACATTCCATTTGATGTCAAACTGGTTGTTTAGTTTTTCCCCAGAAGAGACTCCACCTCCTTTCAAAGTCCCCTTAAAACCTGTAGAGATTTTATCCCAGTGCGACTCCTGCCTCGCATTCAGCAGTTACACAGGGAAAGAGAAGCAAATGTCCTCAGTCCCGCTGCAGAGGATTCAGACACCTGGTTCTTTGGAAAAATCCCTGCCCTGGAAACGAATTTCCACTTGGGTTGAAGTGTTTTATGGCTTGATACTTCTATTTATATTTTCTTGGCCCTAAAAGTAATCTAAAGGAAGACACTGCTTGTCACTGACCTGGAAAAAACACTTTCCTTCCCTCCATCTTTTTTCTTCCTTTTCAGAGGAAAAAAGAAACTTAAGGGAGAGAGATGTTTGTTAGGTTTTGCTCTTCAAGTGGAGGTTAAAATGCCAGGGAAGAAGGAGGACACCCTCGGCATCGCTCATCTCCTCCTGGAACTGCACTGCACCCCTTGGAAAACAGGATGAGAGGACGAGGCACCTCAGCCTCGTGTCTTTTCAACAGCCCTCAGTTACCTGCACAGAAATTCACACCACCAGCATCTACTGCAAGAAAACGAGCAAATGCCAGAAGATTTTCCTTTACACTTGCATGAAGTAGAAAGCCACGGGCATGTTGCCTGTTTTTAATGCCAGCAACGTTTCACAGGCTGACTCCCTCGAGGACAGCGGCAACTGGACGTGGGTGACCCAGTTCACCCAGCCAGGGTGGAGAATTGCTCTGTGGGCTATCACCTATTCCTTCATCATCATCACATCCATCATTGGCAACGCCACCATCATCTGGATCATCCTTGCACACAGGAGAATGAGGACTGCTACCAACTACTTCATCGTGAATCTGGCTCTTTCGGATCTGCTGATGTCTGCTTTCAACACCATCTTCAATTTTATTTACGCCAGTCACAACGTCTGGTATTTTGGCGAGGAATTCTGCAGGTTTCAGAACTGGTTCCCCATCACTGCAATGTTTGTGAGCATTTACTCCATGACAGCCGTGGCTGCAGAGAGGTAAGAGGAGAACGGAGAAGACAAGGTCCAAAAAATCCACTGTAAATCATAAAAAAAAAAAAAAAAAATCACTGCAATACTTTGTGCAGTTTGCCCCTACATACCATGTCAGGGGCCTTATCAGCAAAGTGGGAGAAATACCAAACTATGGGGTTTGATGCTAATTATGATGTGATCTTCTGTCTTATCCCTGGCCTGAATCACACCCAAATCTGTAACTAGTGGAAGTGGCTGGTATTTTGTTGTTCCCACATTACTGACCATAAATTGTTTCCCAGTCATCCTGCAAACTCTTCTGTGGGTTTTAGGGTTTTTTATGTTGTTTGTTTTTTTAAACCATCAGAAGGATATTTCCAGAGAAATGAGAATGTGCCGTGGGA